GAATAAATTCTATAAATAATAAAATAAAAATATATACTTCTGTAAGAATTTAAACCTTTGGTCACAATTTCATAAGAGAGCAGAAATGTAAATGAAATTTGATCATTTTTCTTTCCCTAAATCTTCCTGTGAAACGGCTACAAGAAAAAGACTGAAACCTGAGTAATTAAAGAATGAGGTCTAACCTTGGTCTTTTCACTCTCTCCTATTGTGGACTATTAGCTCCAACATCTACAAGTTCCTCCATTAAAGCGTCACTTCCTGCAGATCATCAGAAAGGTTTTCTTTTTAAGTTTTGGGAGCCCACTGTTGMCRTTTGTGTCCCATGAATGAATGATGAGCCCTGACCTTCACTGAGGGTTTTACATGTGGTTCTGGGTTCTTCAGGGACCTCCTGGATGAGTCAAACACTGTATTTTAATGAGGTTTACCAGCTGTGTACTTTAACTACTGAGCATCTGGGACAAGAGAAACAAGCTAAAGTTTTTGTTTCTTCCCACTCTGTGCTCTGACTGCATGAATGTGAGTTTAAAGCTGAACTTTGTTTCACTGAATCAGTTTGAGCCCAAACACATTCAACTCAGAAGACAACTAAGGTTTTCTATTTTTACTTTTATTTTTTTTTCCAAAGAGGGTGTTTGTCTTAAATTCAACAAATGACTTTGTTCCTTAAAAAAAGCATTAGCAAGTCTAAACTGAAAAATGAAATAAAAACAATAAATACAGAAAGTTTCCAAGCAGACAGACTTTCCTACTGATATCACATTGAAGATGGTTGGTGTAAACCTGGGTGTGTGTGTGTGTGTGTGTGTGTGTGTGTGTGTGTGTGTGTGTGTGTGTGTGTGTGTGTGTGTGTGTGTGTGTGTGTGTGTGTGTGTGTGGGCGGATCAGGATCCATGAACACAGGTAGTTTCTTCTCTGCTCCTCATTCCAGATCGNTGGTTGGTGTAAACCTGGGTGTGTGTGTGTGTGTGTGTGTGTGTGTGTGTGTAGGCGGATCAGGATCCATGAACACAGGTAGTTTCTTCTCTGCTCCTCATTCCAGATCGTCTTCAGTCAGACTCTGGGCGCTGACGATGCGCTGCAGGACAAAACAGCAGCAGGTTGGACTCAGGTTAGAAGCGGTTCTGACCCGTTTGTGGCAGAACTCCTCTGAAGTGGCGGAGTTACCTGGCTGATGGTGGGCAGTTTGGTGAGCAGCATCTGGAAGACAGGTGGAGGCAGAGTCTGCTGCAGCACCTGCAGAAGCTGCTGAGGTTGACCACACACGGCGATGGCGTTGGTCAGGTGGTCCACACCTTTCTCATAGTCTCCTGTACGAGGAAGTGAGGGAAAACAAAAACCATTAAACCCAAACCAGTGAGACAGGATTAAAATTATATGACTCCTCTTGTCATCACGTTTCATTTGGGTTATATATAAAGGGTAGAACAGCGCCCTCTCTTGGTGGTTGAGTGTAATAAGTGTAGTGGACACGAGAACCAAGTTCATTATTTAAAGGGGACCTGTTATACAAAATTCACTTTTTAAAGCTTTTTTTACTCAACTTTGGGTATGTACTTCTTAAAAAAACAGTCCTAGGACCAAAAAAATGCACCCAGGGGCATATTTACTGTAAGTAAATGTATTTTTAATGTATATTAACGACATGTTTTATACTTCGGTCATTTTGTGATGTCACAAGCCGTACGACAACCCACCTGAACCTGTGTTCAGCCCCTTACCTAGCAACCCCCGGGTGAGGCTCCACCTCCTCAGTATAAAAAGTCATCACCGTGTTGTTGTGTAATGTGCAGCTCATTTCACAACAAGCCTCCAATAGGGCAATGGGTAGAGTGTTGGACCAGAGAGTTGGAGACCAGCGTTTGAGACCAGCATGGACACAATTTAATTATTTATTTTTTTGTCCGTTATGAACATGTTTTCTCATGTACCTCTATTGTTTAGCTTATTAAAGCCTTGTTAAAGCCTATTTGTTCGAGTTTCTGAGGTATTTTGACCGCTGCTGCTCCCTGCTCTGGTAACAGCATGCAGAGTGAGCGCAGAGCAGAGGAGGGAGAGAAAAAAAAAAGAAACTGGGACCACGACTCTGCCTCTGGGTCTCATATGGTTGTACAACGGAGCTTCTGCTATTATTAGCCATGCTAACGTAAACGCTGGCTTTGGAGGGAGGAGTTAATGTCAACAGATTTTTGGAGGGCGTTACCAACAGAGCTCATTAACATAAACAGCTCTTCTGAWCAGAAGTCAGAGCAGGCAGAACTAGAAAATGGGAAATTTTATTATCTGAGAATTATTTTGTGCATTAAATTGAATGAACATGGTCTGGATAGCCCACAGACATACCATAAACATTTCTAGGACCCATAATTGGTCTCCTTTAAGAGAGATGGGCACAAGGTAAGTTTATTAGCATTAGCATTAGCCCTGTGATAAAATATCGTGTAATATTAACTACTAGGGCTGGGTAAAAAACTATATAATTGATCTCAGATCAATTTTGATTAAATTTGGGAAAATTGATTCACAGGGCATGAGATCAAATTTTCCCCATGGACTCTTGTGCGCACATCTGAGGCGCGTTTCTGTATGTTTTGTCACTTCTGGCTTGTTGTATGTTTACATCCGGTTGACGTTAAGTACTAACGTTAGCTTTCAATAACAAGTTGCCTGGGCAAAAAATAAAATAAAATAAAATAAAATAAGAAATCACTAACATTACCAGCCGATTCGCCGCAGAACTTAAAGATAACAGAGACCATGGAAACTGTTTTTTGTAAAGCTTTACGCTCACATGCCGGTAGCTTCGAGCAGCTCGTTCAGGTGCTCAAACCAAAACTATAGTTTGGTAAACGTCTGACTGAAACTGTTCTCCCTGATGTGTGAAAGACAACACTCTAACAAAATCATTGTTTTCTTATCAATATTATTATTTTTAAACTTTAAGAAACAACTTAATTAAATCCACAGTGATGAAATGTTGTAGATCATTTTTTCTTTTTTGTTAAAACATTTTATTGAACATAAAATAAGGTAACAGAAACATTACAAACAACTTTCATACGCTCAAAAGGTGTGGTCAGAAGTATATTTATTTTAGCCCACCCTTATTCCCATCACTTATTCGTCAACAAAATGACTTCCTCCAACAACACCGTCACCTGCAATTACTTTTTAAATTAAAAACTTTTAAATTTGTGACAGTTTTGTTTCAAGATTTAACTGTCCAATTTACAAGTTTGCCCTTAAAACCTGTTTATGGAGAAGAGAAAAAATGAAGTGATATTCTATTTTGCAACACAGTTGAACTATTTTCATTGTTTAACTGCAGATCAAATTGAACTGAATCGTGATTCATCGATTCAGAGCCTTGTGAATCAAAATTGAATCAATTTAGAGAATTGGCCACGACACCCAGCCCTATTAACTACTACCCATCAAATGATGGTTGTTAACTGTAGGATGTGTTTGTTACTTGGGATATTTCTGAGTTTAATATCATTGTTTTCGATTAATACAAATCTGAAAATATTTGCTAGCTTGATGCTAATTTAAGATACTTTTCCTCATAAAGGTGCTGTGAGAGTCCATGATTTTAGGTCAGACATATCTTGTTCCATGCAGAATAAACAGAGATAGACTATACGAAGAACAGAAAAGCAGAACGGGTTTACTTTTATTTGGACGTAGCTGGACTAAGTTATGGCTATTATTAGCAATAAATATTAGTTATTAAATTAAGTTCAACACCGTTACACCAGCTCTCTGTGGATGGAGGGATGAACTGAACCACGTCAGACTGGTTTTTTCCTCTGTGTTCTTGTGGTAGGACACTTCTTAAAGTCAGCTCTATGACTGATAAACAACAACATCTCTGTGGCTCCGCTAACATGTAGCTGGTGAAACAATTATCACTTAGAATTTACAGGATTAAAGGGTGCAGAAATTATATTTGATCAGTGATTTTTATGTATTATTGAATCTTATATCATTATTCTTGTTATATAATCTTTACTGTGACGTGTAATAGTGTTAAACCAGCAATGGTAATATTAGCATCTCTGCTTAAAAAATAAAAACATGTCATTTATTTTTACATTTCGTCTGAATGTGGAATTGTAAGATTACTGCTCAGAGTTATAAAGTTATACCATCAGAATCACAACTCATTCCTAACTAATTGATGGTGGGAGGTTTTTATTTTTTAATTATGTTTTTGGACTTAATTTTGTTATTTTATACTTCCAATGACTGAACTGTGTGAGCCATGAGAAAACTACTGAATACTGAATCTCTTAATAATTTAAAAGTGATTGCACTGTGATGGGTCTAGTAATAATATATGTAATAATGGATGCTTTTTAATTTTACAGCAGTTATTGTTAGTGAGGATTTAGACTTAGATTTATCGTCCAATTTATTGACATTTATTTAACCAGGTAAATCCTATTTGAACCTCTTTTGCAAGGGCATCCTGGGCCTTGCATCCTGTCGGAGAAACCTAAGTACCCGGGGAAAACCCACACAAACACAAGGGAACTCCACACAGAAAGACCCCAGGTACAAATGGGGTACTGAACCCAGGACCTTCTTGCTGTGAGGCTAAGCAGGCAGTATGGTCGCTCAGCAGCCRACCGGTCAACGCGCCGTCACGTGGTTGTTCGGTGTTCGTTTTCGCACAAACCTTTCATAGTTCCTGAGACACCCCGTGTGGAGCTCCTGGGAAACCCCTCCCGCCGCAGCGTACGTCACTGCGCGGCACTTCTTCCCGGTGGAGTCCACAACGCGAGGGATGAAAAGTTCAACCCGCAGGTTGCGACAAGGATTACCAAAATGTCGACAATGCGAAACAAACGATGCAATTTTCGTCATGAAATTGCGACAGTTCGGCCCGATTTTGGCAGTTCGCCTGCAGCACGCTGAAGCACAGAACAGAACCGAACAGAGTGAGGCTTGCAAATGGAGAGGGGCTCCAGAGGTCTGTGAGGTCCACTAGATGGTGTTGAGTTATAATATTTGTTTATTCCTTTAAAAGGAAAGTTTAAAACATTTTCTAACACATTTAGTCGTTACAAGAAATACCAGGATATGTTTTCAATAAGTCCATCCTTTTTTTCAACCTCCCTGATTTTCTGAACTTCGGTGAATAATAAAGAAGTAATTCCACTGAATGAAAAGAAGTGAAACAAGCAGAACTGTGGCCCCTGAGGAAGAAAACTGAACATTGTTACATTGTGGTGTAGGTGAGTGGACGTTACCCTGAGCAAGGAGCTCCTCTCCCAACTGGATCTCCTCCAGGAAGAACTTCTGCACTGCCTCTGCATCCTTCAGGTCTGGGAGCTGCAGAACCACCAACATTTAGTCACAAGAAGGAACTTTTAGAAAGAAATATTAAGTTTGTTTTGTACTTCAAGTCGCACGTCTTGTTGCCCCTGCTGAGTGACAAAAAAATCGGACGTCTTTTTCCTGACCGTGCAGAAACGAGCTGAAGACCCATGAATTAATATAATTCCTCCCACAGCTCATGTAAGTAGGAAAACAATAATGATGCCTGGATAYTGTGAAYTTATTTCACTCAACGGTCAGTGTTGTGTTGGGTGAAGAGGGAAAACCTTTTTTTTTTATTAACGGTGATGATGGAAAAAAAAACAGTGAAAATCAACTGCATGCTCACATTCGATAGGATCAAAGCAGCTGCTCTTCTAGCTCTTTAAACAGGCTACAGACAAAAGATGGTTTAAAAAACAATAACACACAGAAGGAAGACCTGCCTGCTTTCTCCTCATGAACAAACACGCCCACGAAGTTCTGACCAATCACAAGCTCCGAGCCGCAAGGTCCACATCGCAGAGTTCTGACTGGGGGCAATGCACACGACAGGGAGAGCAGATGGAAGCTGTGCAATTTTTTGTCACTCAGCAGGGGGAAGTAGACACGCAACTCGAAGTATAAACCAGTCTTTATTCAAACTAAAACATCAAGACCATGTTTCACAATCTTCTTCGTTTTGGTGGGAATCCATGRGTCCTGATGAGTGCTGCTGCTCTCAGGTCTTGTCCACAGGAAGGTTTTTTCCACAAAACATCTTTTTGTGCTCATTTATAAATATGTTCTTATAAGAACAACACAGGTTCTAGAAAAAAAGCCCCAAAAAGCAGTAGTAACAATGCCAGGCMTGTATCTGGCACAGTAATGCTGCAAAAATACACCAGGAACAAGAATAAGCAGCAGGCACAGGAAGCTTACACAACAGGTAGAAACCACTACCTCTCCCTTAGAAACAGGGTTCAGTTGTCCAGGAGAGACTCTACCCTCAGCAAAAAGTAGTAAATGCAAGTATCCTTTTAGTACACTAAATTTAAACTAAAAAATAAGAGTGTACTTCCAGTTCACTTTTTATGTACTTATCTGAGAACCACTTACACTATACTTGGCTTGTATTAAAAGTTTAAGTAAACTAAGTCTATAATGTTTAAACTTTTGGCCAAGATAAACTTTAGTAGTACACTGAAAGTACATTTTCACACAGACTGGTTTATTTATAGTATGTTTCAAGATGAAACTAAAAGTATACTTAGAGTACTTTCAGTATACTTCTGGGTTTACTTTCATAAACGTATTGTGGGCCAATTAATCCTAGACATATACTTGTTAGTAAACTGCTAGTATACTTAGCTATATCAGTGTACATGGTAAATAAAAGTACACTGAGGGAAATACACTTTTATATACTTTAGTATACTTAAACCCCGGCCATGTCAGGTCAGGCAAAAACTCCTTCTGTGGGAGTCTAGTTTCTCTTTGAGTGTAAATTGTTTGTGTAGAAAACCACAGCTTTAAAAAGTTTCAGAAGTACARGTGAGTGTCAAAGTGATGTTCACAGATGGGCAGACTGTAGTAAAGGTGAGATAAACAGATCACATGAAATGTGAACAACAACGGGACATCGTCATGGGCCCACAGAAACAGAGTTGTCGTATCTGTAGTTTGTAATGTGTGAACAGAGGTGTGCTCACCTTGGCCAGTCCTGCTCTCTCTTTGGCTGCCTTCTGAGTTTTTCTACCTGTAAAAAGAAGAAAACTAAATTAAAAATAAAAACATTTTTTAGAATTTTAAAATAAAACAAATTGTTTATATATTTTTAAATGTCCATGTAGCATTTTAGGCCGCATACGTCACTAGCTGTGTTTCCATTGCAAATGTGCGCAAAACTTTGTCGATATTGTTACTGTCGAAAAAACACAGTTTCACAACTGCAGTGTTTCCATTAAGTAAGAAATGTTATTAAAGTCACATGAATACGTTTGTTCTCATGATAAGTCATTACAAACATGGCGGCGATGGATGTAAACACATAGCATGTTGCTACCACGACACTAGCGCTCATCATCAGAGRAGACGTCGGCGTCTTTTATCGAGGCTTTCCAGAGACAAGTCCCTACTTGGGAGCGGCTACGTATGCTGTGTTTTTGGGAAATTGTAGTCAGTGAGTTTACTGTTTTATACTACTTCTGTGATATTACTACTACTTCTACTTCCTGTTATCTTCTTCTTCATCGTCTTTTTCACCAGTAGAAACAGCCGGTTGTTGATCACGTGACTCCTGTGATGTGAAAAATGTGTTTCCATTGCAGTTTTGCGAAAAACACCAATTTTGATACGGCCGAAAAACCACCTCATCCTAGTGCAAAAACATTTTGTCGAAAAACGTATTTTTTTTTAAGTTGACATGTTTCCATTGAGCAAATTCGTTTTTCGAAATTCTAATTTGCGCATTTTCATGGTCAATGGAAACGCTACTGGCCCGCACTGTCCCAATTCAAATTCCTCCTCGTACGGCCGAGGAATGCGGCCTACAAAATCTCAAAAATCAAGGATGCACCCAAGAATCCTTCCCCAACTAGAATATGCCAAGATTCAATGTGCCAACAGCAAGCTAAACAGAGAAATAAAGACGGTGGAGATTGTTTTTATTTACTTTTTTACCTAGTCGGTGTAGTTTGGAAATTCACCACAAACCAAGTAAGTTTAGCAACTTAGTAGGGGTGCAACGATACAAAATATTTACGATTCGGTTCGATACTTTAGTCTCACGGTTCGATACAAAAAAAAAAAAGAAATGTCCATGCCCTTTTTAACTTGTGATGTATTTAAATTAATTATGAACATTTGTTTAACCTCAAAAGTACAGTTTTTAAATTAAATGTTGCTGAAACGSCAAATTTCTCAGTGGATCTGCACTCGACAATGCAGCCTAGGTGGAGTAGTCGAACACAGATCCACTGATCCTTCACCACAGAGCATCTTCAGAAGACAARCTGACAAAATAAATTTTAAAAAATCTGTATTGGTCGACACAAGTGTGTATTGAACGGTTCAATACGGGTACATGTATTGTTGCACCCCTGCAACTTAGCTGATGAAATTCATGTTGCAATAAGATGTTAAATAAAGTACATCTACAAGTACTGGAGCTGTGAAGTTAGATATATTGAGATTGTGGAACAGGTTCATCAATGTCAGATCATAGATTAACAAAACATATCTTTTATTGGGATTTGTCAAATAGGTATACCTGGGCCAGACAAGTTGAGAAAATATTTGAAGAGGCAGATTTTCAGTATATATAAGTTCAGATGTAATAACTGAACAGATTAAACAGTTTTACTTTGAAGCTTATAAATGTAAATGGGCATGTGATATTTTACAAAATACAGTTGTTCTTGAGCCATATGCAATATGGAACCCATCTAAACACCAAAGGTCAGTCTGTGCACARTTTAGATCTGGCACTTTGCCTCTGGCTCTGGAAACTGGACATTTTTGTTCAGTCCCAGTATATGTTCTTTGTGTGATTTGGGTGTAATTGAAAWTGAGATACACTTTTTGTTTTATTGTCCTTTATWTRTGATTTTGAGAAATGAATWGTTTAGTAAAGTTAWGGATGTTTATTTAGATTTTTTTCTTTAGCTGATGAAGATAAAAATCCAGTATTTAAGTATTTTGTATTTCAGTTAGCACATTTTTTGTTAAAAGTCTGGCACCTCAGAAGGAGGACACTTCTTGTTTAAAGACTGAATGTCTGTGTGCCTATGTGAATGTATTTTGTTGTGTCTTGTAAGCCCGTGTTGACTGAGAACTTTAGTGCATGACACAAAAAGAAAATAAAACTACTACTCAAATTTAATAATGTTTTTTTTTATATGTAACATTTTAATTTTTAAGTCTCCTTCCCTATGGAGTGAACATGGACATGTCCCAAGCATTTTAAGTCTGATGTGAAAATGATCACTATAATCTAGTCCAGGTTTGAGGAGTAAACATTTCAGGTTTAGTCCCAATGGAAATGGAATGTCCCAACACAGACGAGCTACATCTAATGGCCAGAACTCTGCAGTTTTCACTCATTTACAGGCCAGCGGTCACTC